TTTGTATTTCCGGGCTTTTCAGCCAATCAGACGGGACCTAGTCCTGCCCCTGCTCCCGGCCACGGCTCCCCCCCTGCAGCAGCTGCTCCCCCCCCCATACACACAGAGGGGGTTCAGCGCCGCGTGGAGACACCGTTTTAAGTCAGTATTGTCAGCTGACTCAAAGGACATTTCATGTTCGTGTAAGGAAATACCTGGTCCTTCACAGGAGCTGAAAGACACTTACACTTTATTCTGCAAGCGCAAAAGAGACAAGAGTACCAGCTGTTATGTTTGAGAGATACTATCTCCATTTTCTGTTCTTGACAATTATTTGCTTTGCCTACCCTTTGAACTATCCCTGTTTAAAGCTTTAATTCTCACCAGCTCAAAAACTCAATCAACATGACCCATTTTCCAATTCATTAATAGCTCAAACACATAAGGTACAAGAAGCTAACTGATGTACCTGAGTTCACATCTGGAAGAATGAGAATTAAGAGTGTCCTCCTGCCATGTTGCTGACCTTTGTACTTACCACAGCTGTCAGTCAAGTATGCATTTAGATGCAATTCTGGTCCTAATGATACTACTGCCCACTACAAATTAGAACTCTGTCTGTAATTAAAGCCAGATTTTTTTCCCACCACTAGGGCTCAGCTGGCTTTCTCATTAACAAACTCACCCTGTAAATATGGAGAAAGAATGCAGGATGAAGAGAGAAGGCAGCAACTCTACCACGAGACTGTTTGGTTGTTGTAAGACAATCCCAGGGCTCTGTCTTGCAAGTACTTTGCATTTGGGCTGCAAGTCAGCTGCTGTTACTGCTGCCTCCTCTTCCTGCCTGTACAAAATATCTATAGCAAGTTTCAGTTTAACCAAACAACCAAAATGACCCACAACTCCCTTTGTAAAGTATTACAGGACTATACCTTATGAACACAGAAAACTCAAAGGAAGTAGTGTTTTATGCAGGAAGATTTCAGCACATCTTCTATCAGTTTCATAAGATTTGTTCTGGTTTATTGCAAACTGAGTTTCAGTGACAGCAGTAACTCAGACTTTGCTGCCTTCACTTCCATCAAAAAGCTGGTTGCGGAACTTTCTTTTTGCAGGGAGATGGACAGGACGATACACTATTCAGTGTAGTAATCTCCTTTGGGAATGGGCCTGTTTTATAAATGAGTGTATGTCTCAAACAGGTATAATAAAAGTCAAATACAAAACATTGTGACAAACTTAATGAACTCAAGAAATTTAGTATTTGTTTACGATTCCAATAGTATTATCACAGTGAAATAAGAGAGGCTACTTAGTTTCTGAAGTATTTTCCATCTTCCATCCTGAGCAATGAGAGAAACAATGTAGTTTACTAATCAGCTGAAGTGGCATCTAATACTGCTCATAATGGCAATCATTTAAATTAGGGTAAGAATGAGAGGAAGGCAATGGGTAAGTGACATGTGGAAAAGGTAGAAGGGGGGCAGGGAAAG